AGAAACATAAATGGCACAACACTGTATGCAAGTAACACAGGTAGCACGGAATACGATAATAGTAAATATCATGATGAGAGTTGGTTTTGGTGACGATGATGATGATGGTGATGATGGAAGTCGTCTACTCGAATAAGTTTATTCGAATCAAGCGAATGACATTGAATAATTACTATGCTTATTCGAATAATTTTTATTCGGATCAAACGAATCATTTTGAATTTGAATATTATGTCTACCCGAGACAATTCCTTTTTTGAAACTCGATTTCTGGGGTTGAATTATTCGAATCACTCACATTGAACAATTATTTGAAATGAATGAACGAATAAATTTTTACTTGAATGAATACTTCGAATTACGAATAATTTAAAAACAAAATATTGAATGAGAATATGTGTTTTGAATTAAAAGCAGACTGATTAGAAAGAATAAAAGATAGTAGATTATTTTTTTTTTTTGAAAAAATAAAGTATAAAGCTATAGAACAACTCTGACCCTTGTACATACAATGTGTTACTGGGGTGATTATAACTTCATGGAATGCCATCATTACTCCAGCTACTTACCATGTTGGAGCCAAGCAGCAGAGTTCTGATATAATCCTGGTGGGCAAATCAATTTAACTGGTGGTTCTTAAATACCTACCTGGCTTATCCCTGCAGCATTGATAATATCTAAAATTGAAATAAAAATTTTTATTGTTGATTAAATTCTATGAAAATATGAAAAATTATACACCAGCAGTCCTAAATTCACTTATCAATTTTGTGGTGCATCTTCTTTTCAACTCGCGATGAAGCGATGAATAAGAAAAGTCACCACCAAAGGCAACAATGACATTATGATCAAACCAATCTTTGTTGGAACCAAGGGTTCTACACAAAGTTTCGACATTGCCTTTTGTTTCCAACATGATTATCAAACTTGATGGATCGGAACTTCTTTGCATCATAAAACTCATGCAAGGTAGAATGGTGTTCTTGGGTATATTGAACATGGGTTTAAAAGTCGGAAAATAGTGAGGTCCGTAATGTAGGGATATTATTAATTGAGTTTGAAAAAAATAAACATGTTGAGTTATTTTATTAAATATAATTTCTCATTATTTCTCATTTTTTCTATTGCAGCAAATAAATCTCTTCTATTCCAATCACTTGCTTCCTAGAAAGATCAAGGTCAACTATTCCATATTTACCTTTATCCTTCTTCTTAATTTGATCTGTATTAATATAGCAACAGTACATCCCTCTATATTGGTATGTATTAAACATTCTTCACATATTTCTGATGGTTTGCTAATTTTAGAATGTCAAAAGGCACGTCTGTCTAGATATGCATATGGAAGAAAATTGTGGGACAAGGTCAAAAGGTCACGAATTTGGTTGTTATCCAAAGAATATTGTGAGTATTGGAAAATCATTCCGCCATGAATTTTCTCCATTTAAGGCTTTCTTTGATATATCCGGCCTTCTTACAAGCCTTTCAGATCTTCATTTTTCCAAATTCTTCTTCCTTTGCCTCTAATGCAAACATGAATATGCTTTATTAGTTTCCCATTTTCATGTTTCTGGTATTGAGGATGGAAACGAATAAAGATCTGGAGACATTTTATATGATAAGAGTAAGCTGCAAGTGTATTAACGACCGACTGTTAACGGATTAACGTTATGGACCCATTAAGGATATCTGAATCCTTTAATATTAAGGATTTTTTTTCTTCCAGATTTGTAACGGGTTAATCCATCAAATAGCAAATATTATTGTTATTAACACGATATTAATAGTATATTAATAGATTAAAAACATTTATTAGAATTTAAATAATAAAATTTTTATTTTTATTTAATTTGAAGGATGAATTTATTTCAAGAACATAATTTTTTTAAAAAAATCTGCATGTTAATAAATTACTAGCATCTTTGACTTGGTATAGATGTTGCAGATACAGATAACTATATTTGTGTCAATTTATTTAAGATTTGTCCCATTGATCAAAAATAATTGCAAATACAGCTTTCTCGAGACGTGACATCAATTTTTTTGTGTTTGGATAGTCGTGTGATGAATAGAGGCTTTTCTATTACTATGCAATCAGTTTCAATATTTTCGAAAAAATTATCTTGTTCATATTGAATAATAAAATAAACTAAATTTATCAATGCGGACAATCAATTAATCATAAGGTTTAAGAATGGTTGACGAAATACTTTGGCAGGGCGGGAAATTGGAATTGACCAATTAAACCGATCAAATTTTCATAACCAATGATCAAAGGTATGGTGGCTAAATATTGATTTTATATATCAGTATTTTATTGGTCAATATCAATTGAAGAGAACCTTTAATATTAGTATTAGTGATCATTATGTATAATTAGTTGTAAAAATACAGTTTTATTTACAAAGTAAATACATTATTATTATTAGCAAATTATTATAAAAATTTTTAACTATTTAAAAAAAATATTCAATTGATAATAAATCCATATTTATCATTATCATTATCATTTTAAATAGCAATAAATTGTTGTCAATAAGCAAATTCATAAATAATGTAAATTGAATCATTTTAAAGAACTAATATTCACTAGATCAAAACATTCCAAATCTATTTTCATCAAAATTCAAATTTTGTAAAATTAAAATTCAAATTTAATAAATAATAAAATTATAAATTATTACCATTAAATATTTTAAAGTATTCACTAGATATATATAATATGTTTATTGATGATAATTATTATAATTTATTCAGTTCTTTGAATTAGATGAACTCCACTATCACTCCAAACAGGTCCACTCAATTCTCCAACTTCAAGTTTGAATGCCGCATCTTCAAATGAAGGTTGCATTTGCCCTCTACCAAAAAATCCTAAATCGCCGTTACGTTTTGCACTCGAGCAATCAGATTCGGTCAATGCAAGTTCGCCAAGAGCAATTTCCTTAGCTTTAATTCGTTCATAATAGCCTTTTATCAATTCAAATGCTTCTTCCTTAGTTCGAGTTATCTCTGACTATTATTTATCATAGAATTTTACTTCTCAAGCTGTAATGGAAGCTAATGGATCACCACTAACTAATAAGTATTCCGAGGGGCTTCCTGGTGCACGTTATTATGGTGGGAATGAATATATTGATCAGGTAGAAAGTATTTGTCGCAAAAGAGCTTTACAAGCTTTCAGATTGGATTCTGAGGAATGGGGCGTGAATGTTCAACCTTATTCTGGAAGCACAGCTAATTTTGCTGCTTTAACTGCTTTGATTCAACCTCACGATCGATTAATGGGTTTGGATTTACCATCGGGTGGTCATTTAACACATGGTTGGCAAACATCAAAGAAAAAAATTTCCACTTCTTCAATATATTTTGAATCAATGCCATATCGTGTCAATCCTGAAACTGGAATCATTGATTATGATCGTTTAGAAGAAAACGCCAATCTTTTTCGTCCTAAACTTATTATATGTGGCGCAAGTGCTTACGCTCGTGATTGGGATTATGTCAGGTTAAGAAAGGTCGCAGATCAACATGATGCCTTTTTTTTTGGATGATTTTTAGTTTTAATTCTTCTCTAAATTGTTTATTTAAACTAATAAAATCATTATTTTTCATAGATTCTTTTATTGATTCTCTGATTAAATTTCTCCTTGATATCATTTCTTGATCATCAGCATCTGATGTTGGATAAAGTGATAAATATTTCTTGGTTGTAGGAAAATGCTAAAATAAAATAATATAAAATTATTAATTAAATAATACTTATTAAAGGTTATTTATAGCATTTTAACATCATATTGTTATTATACCATAACATAATTATAATCAATTTTTAATTCTCTTAGCTTTTCTTCTAATTCATTTTTTTCTTGATCATCTTCAGCAGTATCAATTAATTTTTCAGTCTTTTTAATTGCTCTTTCCACTTTTTTTCGATCTAAAATATATTTTGTAAAACTATTATATATAATAATTACATTTTAACCATATTATTTTTAAAAAAAACCAATCTTACCAAAATGTTTAACCATGCGATATTTAGAAACAATTTCATTTTCTCTTGATGAGGTCAACTTTTCAATATAAATAATCTTTAAAGCTTTTAGTTGTCTTTCTAAACTTAACTGTCCTTTAGCAGAAGATTTTTCTGTTGTCTATATACACGCACCCACAGACACATATGGTAAAAATTAGTATCCCGAATACAGTTCAATTCTAAAAAACTTTTTTTTTCTTCTATTAAAAAAGTTTGACCTGAATGTAAAGAAAAATACTCTACTCTTCTTAAGATCCTTTCTGTATCTCGTATTTTCTTTTTTAAAGTAGAAATACTCATATCTTCTGGCAGCTCCGTATCTACTTTTTTGTTTTTACTTCTCTTGTTTATTCTTACTGGTGGCATTTTTGACATAAAATAAAATAAAAAAAAAAATGATCAACAAAAAAAATTAAAATTCCTTGTTATTTAACAACTTGTCAAGAATTAGAAGGGAACTTTATATTCCCTTCATAAATAAAACTTTTGCTACTCCGTTTTGACAAACAGCATGTAGAACTAGAATGGCAAATACACTACAAAGAGTAACAGTTTTCAGAAGAGACATCCATATAACGAACAAGATAGAATTTATTACTACTACAATGCAATGACAGTCGAAACAAACTTGTGATAATTTTCAGATTCAAGAATTGCTACTAATGAAGGTTTTGGTTTTTTACACAATGATCAAATAAAATATATTTAATAACAAAATCAATTTTGAAAGAAACAACTTATATAAATAATAAGAAGATAATAATCTGTTGTTAAATTTGTCTTTTGATAATAATTATAGTGGTTTTTTAACAACAATTATAACATTTCAATTAATATAGGTGAATATGATGATGATGATGATGATGATGATGATGATGATGATGATGATGATGATGATGATGATAATGATAATGATGATGATGATACAGAATCATATTTACAAAATAATATCAAAATTCAGCCTTGTTCTTCAAGAGAGAACTGGAAGTTATGTATATATAGTAATTTTAATATTTTGAACATTGTGCTTCATCTAGTTAACTCAAATAACATCAATTGGGATAAAAATGCAGATCCTCACGACATCAATTCGTCCTAAATTGGATTATACTTGATAACATGCAGTAATATACACAGTAATATATTCTTTTATCCAAGAAATCACATTGATTACATCAAAATCGTCAGGAAGTGCTAATGGAATTTTTTATATTTGAAATATACCGAGATGTTAATTTTTAATATTTGGATATTTGAATGATAACAACAAAGATGGCAATATAAAGAACCATTTTGTCAGAGGTGTAAAGCAAATAAAGTCAATGATAAAAAAGAACATTCTTTAAAAAGATATTGGTCTGATGGAATATTAAGCAAAATAGTTTTTCACATAATAAAATGTTCTACATTTCTCTAGACAGATCCTCGTGGTGCACATCATCTATAAACGTCAAAAATGGTCACCTGACTTTAAAAGTTTATATATAGCGCAAAATTTTTAAAGAAAGAAATTCTAATGGAACTTTTGCAAGGAATCATGGAGATACATGGATCTATATAAGAGTGGAATTATTGATTATTATTCTTTTCTTTTAATTATCTTAGTATTATTTTTCAACTAATTTTAAATTATTATATATAGAAAATCATATA